ATTACCAGGGCAGTATAAAGAAATAGAAAATAAATTTATTAATAGAGTAAAAAATACAATTTTTATCCAAATTAAAAAATTAAAAGCGACAGGGATATTGTTCAAACAAATTTAAAAAGGAAGCGTCCAATTATTAATAAGGATGAGTAATAGCGATTACAGGCAGTTTTGTTTTTTTCTTTTTTGCAAAAAGTGTACAATCCTAATTAATGAAGATGAAAATAATAATAAAGACAGAAATACAGCTTGTTAAATGTTTTATACAAATAATTTCTAGCATAAATGGTTAAATAATATCACCAGGAGTTAAATCTTTGCTATTTCTTGTCTTAATACATTAATATCATTAATATGTATTTTGTGGTGGATATGTCTGTATAGTGATACAGTTCCATCGTCAGATAAGCCATATCAAAAAAGATAAATGAAAGATAAATGAAATAATCAAATAAGAATTACCTTTGCTGTTCTTCCTCCCATAATTCTTTTTCTTCTCCATCTATCATTGGTGTAGTACCAGAAGCTCTGTAATCCTTGTTCCAAGAATTATATTTATATGAAGGTGTAAATTCACTTCTGACGCTTTCACGACCATCTTTAGAAGCATAAAGATTTGGCGTAGGATGATCCCAACTTGATTTCCTTGGTTCTTCATCCTCGTCGTCATCCCAATTACTTTTGGATGTAGGATCCTATCAATAATGATAATTACTATTTCAAATTCTATTATTTGTATTCCATAAATATCAATGATGATGAAGCTTACTTTGGTCCTAAATTTGGGTGTTTGAGGTTCATCTTTAAATCTAAGAGGAGTTTGTCTTATGCTATCTCTACTTCGACTACGTTCTCTATCTCTGTCTCTATCCCTGTCCTTTCTCTTATCTCTATCACGATCATGATACTTTGAATGCTTTTCTTGTGCACTTAATCTTTGATGTTTGAGTCTCGTTTCCAATCTCTTTTGTGCCTCAGAATTTACTCCACCTGTATGAGTAGGTGTTTCTTCTTCATAAGATCTATATTTTCTTTCTTTTGTATCTAATCTAGATTTTGATTCTGTAGGTTCCTGCGAATTTTCTCGCCGTTTTCTTTCTGCGAGTTTGTCCAAGCCCAAAACAGATGATTGAGGCTTTTTAAATGTATGATCAGAAGCTTTCTTACGAATAATTAAACCACCAGGTTTATTGTCAGATCCTTCTAACCTATATAAGTTTGAATCCTCTGACATAGTTTCTACTTTTTATTTTTAAAAAACTTTATATGTATTTTTATGGTACTTATTTTTGTAGGATTTTCATATTTTACTACAACGGTATATATATGTGTGTAATAAAATATAAATATTTCATGTTAGAGTTTAACTTAAAAAAACCTCTTTCAACTTTATAATACAACAGCAACGTAAGACATTAACTATAAGCACTATGAAAAATGTCAATCGTTGACTCTTTAAAAGAATTGTTAGGGACGATGGCGCTGTCATCGCGCAATTCGTTTCAAATGGCGTGATGATCGTATTCCTATCTATATGACTCACCTAGGTATTTATTGAAACAAATGACTTAAATTTAAGGGGAAGGCCACTGTGATAGCTGAAAAAATAACCGATTTTTAAGAATTTGTTTTCACTGGGATAACTAATTAATAAAGAGATCGGATTGTTGTCATTTTATTGAGTGTATATTAAACTTGTTTTATATAAATTTTTATTAAAAAATTAACAAAAATATGGGTCTTGACTTAAGGGCTAAAAAAAATTTTCCCTTTATTGTAACATTGATATCTCAATGAATGATTATCTGAAAATAAAAAGCAAAATTTTATCGATATTTATACGAATGTAGTTATCATTATGCGTAGCAGTTTTTTTTTATTGATTATTTACAAAAAGGCGACAGATTGAAATTTTTTTTATTTTTAAGGCCCTCTTTTTATTCAAGCAGTTTGTAAAAATAGTAATTATTAAAATTCTTGAAATTGACTACGTACAAACTTAGACACTGCAATTACAAATAAAGAAAAAAAAGATAGAAGAAAGTAATGTCGAGAAAAACGCGTTTAAAGTTTTCATTGCGTTTTTCTTGATATAAAGTTATATATTTCCTAAAATTTTGATACTTATATTAAACTATCGAATCCTGGGGCCATATAATGATTCTTCATCATCATCTTCAGTGTCGTCCTTGTTTTTTTTATTTTTTTATGGATCTTATTCATGCGGTTTTCAACAATTTTCATCCACTTCATGTCTCGTTCGACATAGTACGAATGGAATGTCGATCAAACTTTAATACCCATTAACTCTACTAAGTAAATTTTCAGAATTTTAACTTAAAATTTAACTACATATTTTTAAAAATATATACCTTTAATAAACCATCAAAAAAGAAATTCTTTTTTCAAAATTTCACAGTGACCTTCTTTCTTAAGTCGATATCAAACTATGACTCGTTTGAAAAAAGAAGAAATATTCACATACATTTTATTTATCAACTTAAACCTATTAGCACCTATTAATTTTCTAGTTCGATTTAATTAATATCACAATTCATTATAACAATTGTAGATAATAAATATATGATTTAAAAATGCTATAATATTTTCTTTCGCGTGTATAAACTATCATAATAAATTAACAGACGACTGATAACAATTTATATTAATTTTAAATAACTTCAAACACGATTTACAACTATATATACTTATTGTGGTTTAAGAGTTATTACGTAGATATAAATATATATTTATTTTGAATGTTAACGTAAATAAGTTCGATTGCAAATATAAAAATATGTGATTGCTGACGTACATGTGCGCAATCTCAGCTATTCATAGTACTTTCTCTTAAGGGCCATATATTATTATCTCTCAGTGGGTCACAATGAATTTATTCAGTAGAAAGAAACGAAGACAACAGATCCTTCGTACGAATGGATCATCACATTTCATCACCGGCCCGATACAAGAAAAGCAACTAAACGCGCTCTCGTAGTTTTACCCTTAATTTATGATATGTAACATAATTTATGGTTTTTCGAGCCGGATTTTAGCAATACTGATCCTACGAGCAGCTTAAAGAAAAGCCAAATCACCATGTAAGGAAACGAAGCAAGTGAACCACGAGACAGCATATTCTATATAACAAAACATCAGAAAATCAACAAGCCATCAGAAGTCGCAGCGACGTAGCCTGTCGTCGCTGGACTCCTTTAACCTGGTAACACCATACTTTTGAAGTAAGATCATTTATTTTTGACTTTCTTATCCCTCTTTAATCTTTAACACAATGGAAGCCTCTACCGAACAAATCTTAAGTAATTTGAAACTCAAATGGCGAATCTTCAAAAGTTAACGTATTTTTTAAAAATACAATAGAAACTTATTGAGGAAATGAGAAACATAGAAACTTTAAAATCAGAAATTAATTACATTAAAAAAGACTTCACTAATTGTAATGACATTATGGATACATTGTTAAGTACTCTCTCAGATGCGGATAGATATTTAGAGGAAAAGTTTGATATTAATGAAGATTACGTAAAGATATGGGCAATCGCACGAAGTTTAGTAAAAAAAAAGCGGAATCGCAATCGGTAACTCTAGTTCAACTGGTCAATTGACACCTTCTGATCAAGTCGACGATCAAACAATTTATCTACCACGAATCGTATTGCCCATCTTTAGTCGTTGGCATGAAGAATGGTCCGGTTTCGCGGATCAATTTAAATTTTCCATTCATGACCAACCATTATTCTCTGGATGACTCTAAAAACGGTTAAATTACTTAAAACCTATAAAGCGAACTAGCGTCAACTAATCTCATCTCTATACATTTGCATTTATACAACATTTGTGTTTATAAATGAATATCACTTATATTCATTATAGAATCACTTATATTTAACAAAAATTTTTTTTGAGCAATGTCATTAGTTAAATATTTTATAAAGGAAAGTGTTTGATGGCCTGTAATATGTATATACAAAAAAGAAAATAAATAAAAAATAAAAAAAAGAATCTTCAATTTATAAGTGTGCAAAATTATTCATTTGTATAAATATTTTAATAACATATGGAAGAAAATTTGAAGCCATTCAAAATAATAAGACTACAGCATTTATGATATTCTCATATAATTAAATATTTCATGGAAATAATGATTGTTGTTATCATTATTAATCATATATTTATAACTTTTGTCAATGTTTTAATAAACAATATGTGAAAAGAATTAAAATATATCTTATAGAATTATATGTGTGTGTATGTATGTATAAGTAAATAATATATTCAGTATATATACAAAGCAATATCATCCTTTCGTATCATTCTTATACCGCTTGCAATTTATCATTGTATTTAAGTGTGTGTATCAAATGTTTAATTATACAGTATTGTTAAAAGATATTTTTTTAAGAATATCACCTTCCTTCCTATTTATATTCTCTAATGATATCAGCTGTCAAATAATCTCGAAAAACTTATGATAAATTTATATATATATATATAGAAGTAAATCAGTCTGAAACCTGTATTCTTTCGTTTGTGATTAAAATGGCTAAAGAAATGTTAATAGACTACTTGATAGTATTTCCGCTTGTATGATACGGTGTTAGAGATAAAGCCAAGAAGAAACTGGGCCAAGAAAAAGTATATTAGAATTCGTGACAATATAAATAAAGATTTATAGAAGAGAAACCTGATCCTAAGGTGTTCTAATTGTTTATTTCTGTATAGATAATTATATTTATAACGTATAAAGTTTGCAATAAATTAAAATGCTTCTATTAAAATTATTGATAGAGGCATTTATTTTTGTATTATTTTATGGCTTTGCTATTTCTAAACAATGGGAAAGTGGTTTACGTGAAAGATACGATGGATATGGAGAAGATTGGATATTTATGCCAGATGGAAATGATTTACCTCAAGTAGCAATATTAAAGTACGAAGATAGTATGAGAGGTATTCTCGATAGTGAAAACATTTCTTATATCCTCTACACAAGGTACACTTATATATTTATTTATCGTACACGATAAATTATTAAGATCTTTATATATTGTGAAATATAATTAAAGGTCTGGTCCAGAAAATGGCACGAGACTTATGATTAATGATACTGCAGGACTTCTCGATTCAGATTTTAAAGCATCACGAAAAACAAAGTTCATAACACATGGATGGAAGTCCAGTTCTATGAGTTCTGGTCTCAGAAACATGAAAGAAGGTTAGTTAATATTTGATTATAAAATTGTATCTGTCTATGTGTAATTGAACAAGTTACATTTTGATTATTGTACAGCTTACTTGCAACACGATGATTACAATGTCATTCTTGTTGACTGGGAACCTTTAGCTGCAAGTACCTTTTATCTTGGTCCCATGCAAAATACCGTTCGTGTAGGAAAGGATGCTGCTAATTTCATCGACTTTTTAGTTACAGAAACTGATTTAACTGCTGAAAACGTTCATTTCCTCGGTATATCTTATGTTAATCTTAAGGCAAAAGTAAATTATACATAATTGAAAAAGTTATATAATGTACATCTTTCTACATTGTCAAACATATCTTAGGTCATTCTTTGGGTGCGCATGTAGCTGGTAATGCTGGTGATGCAATAACTTCTGGTAAATTAGGCAGAATTACCGGATTGGACCCAGCTTTGCCTGGATTCCACATGCTTGCTTCTAATAAAACTCGTTTGGATTTAACCGATGCGATATTCGTTGATGTTATTCATTCTTGTGGTGGTATTCTAGGTTATCTTGAACCCCTAGGTAAAATCGATTTTTATCCAAATGCAGGAACAGCCGTTCAACCTGGTTGTTGCTGTGTCCCGGAAGTCATGGGTAAGAAATATCTCACGAAACTAGCATCGAAAGATTTCAAAATAACACATTTGTATCTTTCCTATTTTAGAAGCTTGCAGTCACGGACGATCCTACGTTTATTTTACAGAAAGTATTAATTCCAAGACTGGATTTCCTGCAGTAAAATGCGAAAATTGGGATCGTTATATAAATGGTGATTGCATTGATTCCAGGGTAGTTTTAATGGGAGAACATGTAGATAAATCTGCTAGTGGATCTTATTTTCTTAGAACACGATCTGAACCACCTTATGCGTATTTACCAGAAATAACCAACAATAATATTTAAATTCTAATTTTGATATAATAGGAAAAAACAATTCTTATAATTCTTTAATTATTATATCAAATGATTATAGAGTTCATTCAATAGTAATCAAAATTTGCTTTTCTCTTTTGCTTAATTACAGGTAATATACAATATAGCACTATATTCTAAAAAATGTATACTTGATTCGCTTTAATAAATATTAATTATATTGTTTTGCAGTTAAACAACTTTTATCATTTATAATTCAGCTTACCTACAAATTCTGCTATTTGAATAGTGAGTGCAATTCATTATTCATATAATGATATCGTTCCAAAATAATTAAGTATCACGCATGTAGGAATGATGTAAATCATTAAATTGGTTTATATAATAGAGTAGTTACATATTTTTTTCGATAGCGATGTGTGGCTGATAAAACCATAACACTATCTTTAATACTCAAAGCATATAAATGATTCAACATCACGTGATTCGGTTCTGGTAGAAGAGTTGGTTCACACTGGAAAAATACTTTACAATCAATATGTATATTCCATAAAGTCTTAAACATTAATACAGAATAATTCTTTTATAATTACTCACAGATAATGGTGTATCTTTATTAAGAATAACTTGCAATAAATGTGGTGGTAAAATTGGCGGTCCAACTATTTTTTCCCATGGTTTATGAAGTGGAATTTCTTGACCATATTCAGTTTGAACACTATTAGAAACACCTTCGCTATCTTTAGCAAGAGCTTGAAAAACTTCAAAGTCTGATTTTCTTACAGATACTAAGTTGTTCTTAGAACCCATACCATTGTCAACTATTTTCTAAATAGACAATTTAATCATTGTTCTTACAGTATCAATAAATTTAAATTAATTAGTAGATCTATATCTTACCAAACCAGGATCATGCCTCCATTCTCCATCAACATAGAATTTATATTGATGTTCTCCTTCTGGTAAGTCAATAATAGTAACAAAATCACCATGACTCTTTACCATAGGTAATGTTTTCCATCCTGTGAACGTTCCACTGATATATGCTTGTTTTCCACCTCCTTCCCATTTAAAAACTGTAGGCAATACTTTGCTATCGGTAACTTTAGTTCCTTCGGACACTGTATTTGATCTGGGACGTGGTCCACCAAAATTATCTCCATCACGTTGTTTTATCTATATAAAAAAGCAAATATATGTCTATTGTCTGAAGAAATTTATATAAATTATTAAATACTTTTGTATAATAGGGCTCTTCTTCTTCTTGAGACGATTGGAAAATTAGCTTTTGATTCGACTTTTTGTCAAAAACAAATGCCTGGCCTTCCTTTCCTGGGGAAGGTGGTCCATGTTCTTTACTATGTCGATGATCTCTACCTGAAGTATGAGTATGATTGACTGTTTGATTACTTCCAGCATTTCCCATTATTGTGCAACAATGTCTATAAATACAGAAATAACATTTTGAATATGTCATTTTGAATATGTCATAAAAAATAATCAAATAGAAATGAAATTTGCCTTTTGTTTTACCTAATAAAATAAATAAAGTAACACTGATGGATCCTGATAATTTATTTTTCATATGATTGGAATTTACGTCGTAAATTAATGAAAAATTAGAAAATATATAAGCAACAAAACCCAAAAAGATATACTACAAGTAGTATACGAGTAGTATATATCAGTATATCTGATGTTTTTGGTAAGGATAGTAGGCGGGAAATACAAATTTAATTCTTTCATCATCTAGTTTTACACAGATTTTATAGAGGTTTAATAATGAAATTAATATTAAATGACAATTTATCAATCTGACATTATTAATATTTCATATTTTTAATGTATTATAACTATGATTTATATATATAAAACATCTTGTCGATAACGTTCGAATTGTAAGATGAGGATCATAAATGTATATAATACTTTTCACAGACATTTTTTAATATTATAATGAAAAATTTATTAATATATACCTATAATAATACGACTAAAATTTATTAATAAATACTTTGTATTTATAATAATTATATAATATTAACATAATATAATATGAAGCGTTTATACACCAAAAAATAGAAACAATTACGTAAGTACTTTATCAGTAATAAGTTGAAATAAAAATTTCGAAAAGTGTAATTATTTTTAACGAAATGTCTTATTTATAACAATCGATAATTTATGGAAATATAACTGACAGCCGTTATGTAATTTTAATATTTTTGAGAGTGAGTTCAATTATCTTAGTTATTAGAACAATAATGGGTGCATTCGACATTAGACATATCGCGATAGAATTTTAAGCGTTTTCGACCGTCTACATCGTTTAGAGTAAGCAATAAAATTATTTTCATTTCATTACTATCTTCTTCATTATAATTTTTTACTATTGTTTTTAATTATTGATACTATGATGAATAATATGCAAAATAATACATCAATATATAAGAAAGCATAACTTAATTATAAGAAATAAAAAAGTAACTTAAGTTGATAGGTACAAAGCAATAACTGATTAATATTATTATTATTATTATTATTATTAACTCTTATAATATCTTATAATATCTTAATCAATAAAGGTACATATCAACCAGAACATCCTCTGCAGCCGCAATGTATACATTCCACTATTCTACCTTCTTCTAACTTGCCTTTTGGTACACGACAAATACAATTCGTACCAAAATTAGTATCTCGTGTTTGTATGCAACGTAAACAACATAAGTTTTCATATCCAACTTTTTTCCATTTTGCTATAAGATTTTTGTCTGCTATGTTTTCATTCAAACAATAGTCATACAATTCTGAAAATAATATAACATTAAAGCAAATGATATGACTGTGTAAATGATAATATATTATTTAAGAAAATAAAATATGTAGATATTGAATAATTACAAATAACAATCGAAATCAAGGTAAACTTACCACGACTAATAGCTTTTCGTCTATAAAATAAATCATATATATATCTTGATTTTTGATGATGAATTTTAAATATTGGCCATAAAGATTCCTGTTTACGTTTACCTTCGTGTGGCTCTGTTTCAGCTTTAAGAAAAACAAACAAAGTACTTTTTCACTATACAAAACTGTACAATAAAAGACGCGATATGAAAATATCTAACCTTCAAATTTATCGTAGTTTATTTACCTTCGCGCATCTTTTGTTCCAGCTCTTCTAATGTAGGTTCAATTAATTCCCAGCCATCAGGTGGAGATCTTTTACTTCTTCGTACTTTCGGCATCTCGTATAGGAATCACTGAATATTATATCGCTTATGATTTCAAATGAGTCCAATGTTTACGTGATACTCGTACCTATGAATATAAATAACTAACATGAAGTGTCAATTGACGTCTCGATTGTCTAAAGAAAAATACTTTTCGATCAATTTTCTTTATTGTTCACAATTCATATTAATACTTTATACACACACTTTTCTTTTTCTTTTATCATGTAACGAGGACCGTAGAAATAACATAAGATAGATGAAAATAAGATCGAAGGAAGGTGATGTCTCCATCATACGCCATTTTAGTATTCACATTCAAAAGGCGAAAATTTGTCCAGTATGTCAATAGGTGATTATAAAAACCCTTTATTGATTATATATAGTGTATAAATATTGTCATATATACATGTTCGAAAATGATTAATTTATTTTTATTGTATTACTAATTAAAAATAATATCTGATCAATGATACGTATCCATTGATAAACAAGAATCCAGGATAATAAAGTCTTTGTCGTACATAATATACTATTATTCTACTATTTTAAATGAATATTTGCAGTCTCCTTCAAAAAATATATTTTATTTTAAGTATATATAAATATAATAAGATATTTTTCAGATAAAGCCGAGCATATATTTAAACGAGAGTATATTAAAACTGTTGAGCGAATTGTACGATGAATAAATAAAAATGTGTTTTACTGTGACATTTCTTTGGAAATCAATGCATCTTCAAAATCAAGTTTCTACTCTGATTTTTTTGTTTACATTTTTATAAGATAAATATTTTCCGAGAATTTTCAATAAGAAATCGCGAGTTAAATGAAAACAAAAAGAATGATGGTGTCCCGTAATTTTTATTTACATAAAGTCTCCAAACGATTACAATAATTAAGAAATACATGATTATGGCATTCAATTTTTTTTATTACAGTTGTTCACTACCTTTTGTTCAAAGTGTGTGTGACATCAACGACAGGTACAAACAAAGTATAAACTACAAAACAAGTGAGGAACACTGTTCCCATCATGCATCTATCGTATTGGTATATAAGCTTGTTGGTTATTCCCCTCTTACGCGTATTAATAATTGATTTCGTGTGAGATGGAGTAAGTAGTTTAGTAAACGAAGAGACTTTTAGTCTCTCATATGTATATCTTTCTTTGATGGTAGTGTACAACTTGCAGTGATCCGTGCTAGATACAATGTCGATATGCATTTGTTTCACGGCAAGTGCATAAAAAATAATAAATATAATTGACACATAATAATTAGTATATAAATTTTCGACAAAAAACAAGATTTTGTCGAATATTTTGTTAAAAATAATTAGTACATATATATATTATATATTTTTGAAGAAGTTTTATATTAATGAATAAACTATTCTCGAAAAAATACTATTTTTTAACATGATTTTTTTGGAAGAAAATAAATCTTCAAAAATTTGGAAAAGTGGAGTCCTAGATTAGAACCTTCGTCTTTAAAATAAGATTTTGTTTATCAAAATTGGTCAAGAATTATTTCTGTTCTCATTGATGGCGTAAATGCCATCAATGAGACTATTTTCGATATTTTTCACAAAGAAAAACTTTAGTACTGTAGCGCCCCTCGAAATTTGTGGTAAAAAAGGTGAAGCTCGTATCCCCACTACTGATTTTCATATCACGCCAGAATGTTATGTTTTATGTCCGTGAAGTAGCAATTGCATGCTTGTTTGTTACGTAAATAGCTGATGTTCAGATTTTCTAAATATTTTCAAACGTAAAGAAATGTGTTTGACGAGGCCGCACGAAGAAGCTATGGAAACTCTTTCGATCATTTTAATGATCTTTAGTCAGACGATTCTATGGCAAAAATAAAAAAATATATGTTCAATCGTTTATGTCAAAGAATCTGAGTTTCTAAAATATCGTCAAATTTTTCCAAAATTTGTCTTTTTTCTTTTTAATTTTTATACATTAAGAAGATATAGATTCTATAAGCAATGTGTAGCTAGTGCTACAAGAAAAACTACGTAAAAAAAAAAAACGCTGGAAGTTCTACTTCATAGGTAGTGTGGAAATGATTTCATGTTTTAATTTATATTAAAATAATATAATATATAATTGTTCATTAATTATTTTGAAGAAAATAATCGACAAATGTTGTCACAGATTTATATACTAATTCTTATATGCGTCAATTATATTTATTATTTTCTATCCATTTATCATAAAACAAATAAGACGTTTGCTACCACCAAAAAAAAGATATACATATAAGAGATTGAAAGTTTCTTTGTCTATTAAACTATTTACTCCATCTCATATGAAACTAATTATTAATAAGCATAAAAGGGGAATAACCAACAAGCTTATACACTAATACGATAAACGTATGGTGGGAACAATATTTCTCATTTGTATTCGTAGTTCATATTTTGTCCATACCTGTCGCTGAAGTCACACACTTTGAATAATAGATAATGAACATTTTTAATGATTGTACTTATTTTTTTCTTTTCTCAAATTTACTTTGTAAAATTTGAACATAAAACATTAGAGAATAGAAATCAAAAAGAAGTCTGTCAACAATTTTCTAACAATAGCCTATACATTTTAATTAAGTAACAAAAATATATTATTAATTTAGATATTATTGAAGGAAAGTTCAAATATATTCAAGAAATAATTTGTATTTTTTTGTATATTTTTTTTACATGATGAAGTGCAAAGTTATCAGTGCATTTTTTTTTCTGCAACAATTGCCTGACGACGTGTGTAACACGTCACTGGCGTTCCGGTAACAAAAGCATCTCAACGTGCGTGGCATGTCTTTTCACCGCAAGTGGTTAAAAGATACGATGTGCCGATTTTGGTTCGAACTTGTCACTCTAAGATACTCCGTGAAAAATTAAAAATCTCTTTGACGATCAAATCTGAGGGATCAAAAATCGATGATCGTTAGAGGGATACATTATCAATACGAAAAGTTTACCCGGGATGTAGGAGGGGACAGGGAGAAAACGTTATATTGTAAAAGTATATGATCAAGTAAAAAAAAAATTCCTTCAACCAAACCCTTTCCTGTATCATAATCTCCGTTCTCTTCTCCTTCTTATTTCATTCTCACTCTTTTTTATTTTTCTTTCTCTTTTTTTTCTAGCATGAACCAACTTATGATATGTAAATGATATTCCTACTTAATGAAATTGCTGATTAATATCATTTGCACAAACACAGTTACGTACATGCTCATAGACGATATGCATCGAAAGATCGGGTCGAACATACAATGTGCTATTTGAATAGAATCGTCGAAATGTATTCGAATTCTTAAACTGAAAGAGAACGCTGAAATTTCGCTACAATAGATCAATAATAAGAATTTATCGTTAATCCTAGTATTCACCTATTTAATCTTCGTAAAAAAGTTATATTCTTTATTTTGGATCGATAGAATACGATATTTAAGGAATCTGAGAATAGAGATTTACTTATATTTATTTTATGTTTTTATATTATGTCTATTTTCAATTTTTGTTTATGTATTAAATATAAATTGTTTATGTATTTATGTTTCTATATCATTAATAGAAATCCAAACAACTTCATAAATAATTATAGTATACATAATTCATAATAATTTTGTTATAGATAAAGAAAATGTATAATCAAATAAGTTTTATTTTATTACATAAATTATCTACATATAGTCATCCTTAAAAAAACAAAAAAAAAGGAAACCAAAAATATAAACTATTTTGTGAGAAACACTATAGATTATGGTTTAAATATGTATTCTGTGATGTATTATTATCTAGTACTATTTATATAAAAGTAAAATTATAATTTATAACTTTAGCAATTCTTTGATGTTTTTATGATAATAAGATCACTACATATTCACAGCCATTATAATGAATTAATGGTAAATAGTCACTTTCATAAAAAGAGTTAATTATAGAACCTATGAAAAAATTAAATCATTGACGTTCTTCAAGATATATAAATTAAATGTTTTTATCATATCAATAAAAATTTTGTTAAAAATTACGTGTACACATATACAGTTTATTCAAAATATAGATCCTCTTTTATTTATAATAACTTCAAACAAAAAAGTATTTGTTTACCTGTATTTTTATTATTTTTTCTTCAATATCTTAAAACTAGCCCCTAAGCATAAATGATCACTTCCAACAGCAAAGTTAGGTATAGTAGGTAAATCTTTACATTTTTCAACAGTTGGCAAGGTGTATATATCTATTGGTTCAAGATCACTATAGAATATATAATCAACTGTAATCCATTCCCCTTGATTAGTTGTTACTTCTTTTTTTCCATGTTTGTTTGTATGTTTATAAACACTATGCAAATTAAAAGGATGTGTTAATCTGCCAGATGAAAATTTGACATAATTATTTTGCGTTATTTCAATAAGTTGAGGTTCAATTTTCTTTGTATCAAATTCAGTTTGTTTAAATACAGCTACGCCATATGATGTATCTTGTTTATCAGCATATTTAGTGTCCTTTTTCTATAAAAATACATATATCAGGATTCTCTAGTTAAATTTTAAATATAGTTTATAACAACAGGAACAACAGTTATGATCCACGAATTATACATATATGCACATTAAAGCAAAATTGTAAGTATTTTACAATATTCATTCCAAACAATCCTAAAATACTTATAACCATATTTCTCCATTATTTCTTTAGATATTATAATTATTTTAATAATGTACCTCTGCATCTCCAGTAATATTTTCTTTTAATCTTTTTATTAAGAGATGAAAATATTGACAGTTATCCGTAATATGTAATAGTGGAGGTATTAATAAATAAGATAAAGCACGAAATTCAGTAGGTTCCAGATTTTTGCCTTTACCATAATATTCAAAAGATCCCTCAGTTATAAATTTATAAACGCCTGTATAAGGCTTCAAATTAAAATCACCCGAAAAAATAATAGGTAGATATTTAGGGCCCAATCTGTATCATAATAAGCAAATATTTATAATATATGAAGAAACTATAGATTATATTACATTTGTAATAATCATTATATATTTCTTACGCTGTATTTTCAATAAATGCAATTTTTTCTATTTCTGTAAGTAGTAGTTGAGTTTGTGCTAATCTTATATCATTTCGTCTTGGATTAAAAAGCAAGTGGGTAGTAGCTACAACAATCTGCGTATTTGGACTGTCACGAAATGATAATTTTGCAACTATCCCAACATTGTCTCTGTTAAGAAGTTCTATGCCTGGTTGATAAAATTCTACTTTCATGTAATCTACCAAATTGAATTGATCAGAATGATACAACAATAGTAAACCATCCTCTTTATCATTAGTCCGTTTCTTGTAAAGATATTTATATCCAAGTTCTTTAAAAGGTTTTAAAAATTCATTTAAATATTTTTCCTGCATCTCTTGGAGACATATAACCTATGCAATATTATAGTAAAAGTACCTATATATAAAAATATAAATGTGAAAGTTGTTTATATTTTGTGCTTGCCTTACATCAGCCTGTGCTTCAAGTATTTCTTGTAACAAAAGGGGCTTTCGTATATCCCAAGATAATGCTTCTCTATCATGTTGCATGTATAGATATGGATGAGCTTCTAAAAGATTTTGTGCAAGAATATTGAAAGACAATATTCTAAACACAAATGCATCATCTCCATCTATCTGTAGTTTCCCTAAACTCATATCAGAATTAAAACAATTATAAAATAACATCAATAATAAAATAAAAAAGCTTGGTAAACCCTTACTAATATTAACTTTGAAAAAATTGTAAATATTATAATTAATATCTATATTAAAAGTAGATGTTAAAATATAAATTGGTAAAGATTAATGTAAATTTATGTACTATCAGTTTATACTTTTGATTTACATTATTGTTCATAATACAAATTTTATATTTTTGTAATTATATCAAATAAAACGTACAACATTATATATATACATATAAATTTTTTTTTCAAGAATTAATATATGTTATATAAGGTGGTCAGGTAGAATTTATACTTAAAATCTTTTTATTTTGGAAAAGAAATATAATAGGATAAAAAATAATTGTTTTCAAAGTACCTTTCCGTTTATATTATCTAATTTTCTTAAGAATTTTTATTATTTTTCAAAAATAAAAAATTTCATAGGTATAAACATTAGATGACATCTCACATATAAACAAAAATTAAAAATTTAACAAATAAAAACATTATAATATAAATTGTTGTGTACAAGTTAGATTAGTTAGGGTTTACAACATTAAATGAAATATAATTTCTTACCTTTTCCCAATCTCTTCCATTTCCTTATCGTGTTATAATTTTGCTTATCGATAATAGTTCTTTGTTGTAAAGATGTATGTTCCATACATGAATTAATAGCCATTTCATTTGCCATTGTGTCAGTGCCTCTATGACTTACCACCTTTGTATTAGAAATATTATACGGTATATCACAGGTTGCTGAATTACTATTAGCAGTATAACAAGTCTCCAAAAGAGGTTCCATAATATTTTTCTTAAATTCTTGATGTGTCATTGGATTAACCATGGACTCAATTATGTTTGAGTATGTTGAAAATAGTATTTCTGGAACTGATGCACTTTTGCAATGATATCCGAAAAGTGAGTGTTGCAGGGGCAACTCGAGCATGTGAAAGATCTAAAAAGCCATTACCAGTTACACTAACATAAACATAAAGAAAAGAATTACCAACAATAAAGAATTGTAATGTAAACCATATCTGCATCAACCTTTTGCTTTACTAAGTTCAGACGGAATAAAAAGATATTAGCATATACAAATTCCTAACCTTAACCTTCTTCTAATGTCAAATTCTTACATAATACGATAATCCAAAAGATGTACTCGTATCAGTCAAAAGATTCGAGTTTACCTTTTGTTCCTGACGAGACAGTATGATATGAATATTACGAGTAACACTTGTTATAGAGACAGTAGATAATAATCTTGTTGCGTTCATTTATTCGAATAAATTTCTTTATTTTAACACAGTATAATTTATGCTTTGATAACACCTAACCACAAATCAGTCATTTTTATTTGCTTGTAACCACAAACGTATCGTCGAAATAGTCAATAGATAATCATTCGATGATCTCTTAGTACGTTACACGTGACTTCGAAGTCCTCATTTTTCCAACGAGTCTTACAATTTCGGACAAAAATATTTCGAATACAAATTATAAAGTCTATCTTTCTATAGTAAAAAACATAGGGGAAAAAGTAGTAATAGTATCGTATAAACTTATTCAACATCAAAAGAATACAACAAAACAATGTTTTCATAATACGATAAAATAAAAAACATATATAATACATATATATATATATATATATATATATATATATATATATATATGTATGTATTCTACGTATTACATAAATTATTAATTACACAAATTATTTTGGAACATAATTTTTCTACAACTATACGACTTCATTATATCATATTATGATTATATAACAATATAGAGGGGTTCAATTTATTTTAAAGTAAATGGTACACTGACTTCATTGTGATTTGTAGTATTCCACACCATACTGTTCGTTTTATTATTTCTTTTTTATTTTTTTGCAGAACAGAATATACATTTGTTTCATTTTTGAAACATCAATTGAAAACGATTGACCTAACTTCCGGAATTTGAATCATACATTAACATTTTTCTTTAATTAAATATAATCGAAATGATAAAAATTAATATTTACATGTTTGCATTTTTACAAATTAAAATTTACATTTTACATAAATATAATACAATATGTAAAAATTGTATTTTATAATAAAGTTTATATAAATTAACTGATTTCTTGCATTATTAATGTTAATATTAAATATGCACATATGTTGTTTATATAACATATGTGGATACTATTCCTATCTTTTACGACTAAATTTATAACAAAAAAAAGTGCGAAAATATAAAACAATATGCAATCATACTTAACAGATATATATATATATATATATATATATATATATATATATATCTAAGAATTTATTCAAAATCAACCAATCGCATTCCTATGATTGAAATTAATACATAATAATGAATATAATAAAATAATGATTATTATTTATATAAAATTATATAGAAATTCTTTATGGACATTAGAATTGTTTGAAACAAAGTTCAACAAACAAATACTAACATTAATGATAAGGATTTTTTTGTCATTTGCTATTTGTATCTCTCAAATTTTAGAAAGGAATATTTTCAATATTTTTATTTTATAACATATTATATAATATGTTATAAGAATAACCTAATAATATTTGCTTACGTTACACGGTGTAATTTTTTGTATTTTTTCCAACGACGTGACACATGGCCCCGCGTAGTTTTAGATCCTTGACCATGAAAAAACGTTGATACATAATTGATCCTCAAATTTTTCAAAATAACTATATAGCAATGTTACATAAATCGATTGTAGAGATTGATACTATCTAATTTTATTATTAATTATTATATGTTCAATATGTTATTTTAATTGGCCTAGTTAAAAAATTGTTAACTAATCTTTTCTAATATCAAATCTTATAATGGAAGTAGATTGAATTGAATAGTAGATAACATTAACAATGTCTCTAGGAGTTCCAAAAGAGTGTTACATTATTTTGGAATTTAGAAATAAAATTAAAGAATTAAAAATAAAATTTTTAAATCAACCTTTTATTTTCCTCTTAAATATCGCCTTAAATTCGCCTTTATTATCTTTGCTTGTAAGATTTTATCCAATGAGCGTTAGAATTATGAGAAATAACGTATCCTGCGAACTAACTTTCTTGACTAAATGAGACCCTGAAATATTTTTATATTTTGACGATCAATGCGCCGCCTATTGGCTCTGTCATGAACTACGTTATCTGTATATAGATGTCGCTATAAAATGATTGAACAGAAAGTTCTACAAATAAAAGTGGCTTCAGTTTATAGAATTGGTAGGTGTCGACAGTCTTGTTTAAAACAGTGTCTAATCCGTTTATAAGACGTAGTTATTTTATTGAGGGATCATACATATATGTAAAAGAAAAAAAAAAAAAAAGAAAAGAATAAAAAAACGATAAAATGATAGAACATCGTGCTGTAACGCCTTTAATTGAAAAATTTCGCTCATTTCTTCGAGGTGTAAGTAATAGATATATAAATACATTTTATTATTCATAGATTATAAATCATTTAACAAATTATAATTTTTTTGAACTTATTATTAAATAATCCATTTGTATATAATAACTTAATTATTTATTTTCATGGTAATCGAAAATGTAAAAACTGCAACTTTTACATAATACAATCCATTGCTTTTGAATTATTCGTAATAAATAATAATATAATATACATCTTTTTTTATTTATTATAGATCGTTGATAATCGATTTTTATTATTTCGTTATCTGTACAGAATGTTTATAATCATATGTTAATAATCGTTTATCAATAAATAATATATTTCTCATTATTTATAATAAACATTTTCAATTTACTCCTTTCTTTATTTTTGTCGAATTATTTAAAATGACTAAAATGGCAATTATTATGATGAACAACTTGTATATTGCGCTCAATATATGTTTATATTTATATTTAATGTATTCTATCATAAATAATAATTATTATTTTATGAGCAGAGAAAAGTTATTCCTCAATTACGATATGCAGATCTAATTTCTGCACGAACACAACCTCCACCTGAAATACCAGGTGGACCATATCATAAGACCTCAGAAATATATTACTTTACTCATGATGCTAGAAGGGAAGTTGAACCACCAATTGAAGTTTTTGTGAATAAACAAATTACAACAGGGTAATATATTTAGATTTTTTTCACTGTGCATGTCTGATATATTATTGATATAATAACATTCTTGTATTACATACATAAACATAATGGCCTATATATATATACCTAAACTTATGTTTAATTTATTTCATTATCTTTTATTTATTTCATTGATGTATATATTTTATATAGTTGTGAAAATAATAAATAAAATATAAAATGTATAATATGAATTGAATACTTTGAAGAAGATTAATATCATTATGTAACAATGAAGATAAAATTATAAATTATGACAAGAGAAATATTTTCATGATTTCAAGTATTTAACTATCTCCGTGAATATGAAATTTATTTATTAATTATATAATTATACAAAATTTTATTATGCTGTATCTACAATGAGGTCATCTATCTCCATCTTAAATAAATTCCTCTTATAAAAAAATATAAACTTATATTAATTTATATTTTAATATAAATATAATCGTTAATTCATAAATTTGCAGGAGTGAAAAGAAAGTTATTGGACAGAACTCTCCAGGGAAATTATTTCTATGGCGCTAAATTACATATTAATTCAGATGTAAAATAGTAACTATTTATTCATTTATAAATAAATTATATTGTAGTTCTATGAATATTATTGTAAATACAAAATAAAATAGTTTGATTATTATAAAACAGGTAATTTGTTATTCGTATATTTCTATGTAGGTTGAAGCTAATATTAAGTTAATGTAAAAATAATGGCCAAATATCCGTTGTTAGATTTTTTGCCATATTATTTAACTTTGGTCAATTAAAAAGATCTAATATTGATGTATTGACTGCACGTTTCTGGAATGATGTTCCAAAAGTTGAATAAATAAAGCAATGAAATTGAAAGGAAAAAAGAAAGAGATAACTACAATGAATTAATTTTAATGATAACGATATTGTTTAATTTAATATTCTACAATCAACAGCATGATTATAAGTGAAGGAATGTTTATATAATTCATATATTCTACAATAGTAGAAAGTTTAAAATTTGTTTATACTGCAATATTATGATAGCAATTAATAGAATGTAATTAACAGAATTCACATAGAATTGAAGGCAATAATATCAATATTTATATACACTTTCACAATTATTATATCACATTTAACCATATTATACATTTTATACTTTTTATACTGGTGACGAATATGAAACAACTCGGAAAACGATTTTTGATTTATCACCATGAAAATATTGTAGAGACACTCCTCAACTAATTATGAAAATCTTATTTATTTATCTTTATAATTTGGCTTATAGAAAATAATTATATAATATCTAATTATATTTAAAAACAATTTTTCGCTTCTCCTGGAAAACATTTTTCCGAGTTGTATCAGTTTCGTCGCAAGTATGCGATTTATTTACTTTAATAATCGCAAAGATATTTATTAATATTATAGGGTTAATATATATGTACTCTATATAATGTAAATAAGGTAATATAATGTATACAATGTATATAACGTAACATTCCGTTGTAAAATCCTTCTACAACATGATAAATTTATGGAATTATATAAAAATCATATTATTATAAAAAAGATTCTGTTAAAAAAAGAAGACATTTTATGTGTATCAAATGAAAAATTGGCAAATAAATGAGGATGTTTATTAAGGCATATTATCGATAAAGAAAGAGTTTTATGCCATTTTTGTAATATTCAGTTTGTACCGAAAGTTCCTTTCGTTTTTAAACATTGCCAGATAAAACAGCTTCATATGGATAGCGAAAGAAATTTTTGGAACAACCTAAATCCAGTTCGAAAAATATTGTATTATAGAAGGATTAGTTGTATATACAGAATATTAAAAAATAAGAGTTTAGAACTTGTACATACAGTGCTCATTTAGCTGAGTAAAATATGTTTAGTTCAGATGGGTCAAATTGTATTTTTTACTTGTCTTAATGATTACTGTATGTCCTTTAAGTCCTGAATCCTTTTTTAAATAATATATAATACAACGGGAAGTTAAATAATAATTTAATAAGGAATCTGATTTTGATAATACTGTATCATATCATAAGTTTTCGTACGGAAATTGAGGTAGCTGTTGCGAATTACAGTGAGCATAAAAGCTGCGGCTTCTCTGTCTGTAGCCGTTGGAACAAATCGACCACGCAACAATTTTATCGTTTGACCTCGGAAACACGGTAAGCCTGTATCAAGCATAAGGGAAACAAGGGAAATGATTGCTTCTTGGTAAGGCCTAAAACATAATAATTTATATATTACATAAGAGATAAATTAACAAATTAGTAATGATATTTCAAATTATATATAAAAAGTATTTGCACCTCACAGCGAGAAATGCTTGAACGCATAATTCCATAAACCAACGGAATGGTGCAGCTTCCATTTTACCTCCCATTACTAATACCATTTCATCAGTAAGTTTGATATCAGGTTCAAATCCAAGATTTCCTCCAGGAGAACTTTCAAACATGAATCCAAAATCAATATGTATTATATGACCTTGACTATCCAACATAATATTTCCATTATGACGATCTTTTATTTGTAGAAGATACGTAATTACGCTATAAGCAGCCATCGATCTAACAAAGTTACGTCGAATTGTTTGAAATTCCTTTGTTGTTTCATCACCGCATCGTGTAATGAAATATTGATACATATCGATATCTGTTGTACGTCCCAATTGATCTCGTGATTTTGCATCTGGTACACATTCTATAACACCACACTAAAAAGAAAAATTTTATAAGGATGTATCATTATTGAAGTTTATATATAATAAAATATATATAGGTCATATATTATAATAGTAATACATAAATCTTACCCCTGGTGCTGTTGCTACTACTCTGTATGGATACAAAAATAAATTCAGACCAACTTTCTGAAAAATATTTTTAAATATGCTAATTACTTGTAATGCAAGCATATCTTGTCTTACATCATCACCAACTTTAAAAATGGCAGCTTGCCATGTTTCTTTTCCTATTTCTTTCTTTCTTTCTACTTTTCCATTTGTTGACACCGCTAATGCAATATTTTCTAACTCATTAATACCATATCTCTGAACTTTAAAACGTGCAAGGAATGGTGCCTTAGCAGCACTGTAAAAATTTATGCGTAAGTATAATAAATGTAAGCATTTCTATATATATTTTTATCTATAATAGATATGATTTGATATTACCTTTGCATAGGTGTGCCACTTTTGTAATCTATATCAATAACCATTGCTTCAGGATTAGATGGTAAATAACAACCAGGCTGTACTTTTATTTTTGATAAAGCTTCCAAACATGCGGCTTTACGTTCATGGCCTTTAGGATATGGCCTGATTTCACCAGATATATTAGTTATTTTTTCAAAGAATTCAAATTCTCGTTCATAAAATTGTTTAGCTGGACCAGATAATGCATTCAGAATACTTTTTACTAATGAATCTAAGACATCATAAAGAACCGGATCTTTTATTTGTTTTTCTTCATCCATATACATATTTGTATGCATATTCCATATTAGCTGATGTGCCACTACCTGTAATACATAAATCTTTTTTAATATTATATTTTTACAAACTTTATTTTATTTTGTAAAGGCTTTAGATGAATATGTTTACCTGGGAACGTTTAGCAATTTTTTTAATAAATTCAGTAACATAACCCATGGAATCATGGCGAACTGCTTGTACAAGTTGTGGTATATAGACAAGTACAGCATCAGCAGGATAACTATCTAATACACGTACTGCATATTGAGCAGAAATTGGATGATGCGGGAATTGACGAGAAAAGTAAGCTAATGCATGAATAGGGGAAACCCTTGCCCATGTTAGCATATAAACCAACTGCAAATAAAAATTATATATATTTACATACATATATATATATAGCATATTTATGCAATAATAATTATTTTACTACGCAATACTCACTTCAGGTACATCATTAAGAAGAGTATCTGTAGTTACGAGATATTGCAAAGCTTCTGAAATATGCATAACTACTACTGGTTTCTGTCTCACCAATCCACAAATTTCTTTTATAATTATTTCAGAATTTTTCAAACGTACTGGCATAAATACAGCAAGGCTAGGACTAATTTCCCAAGCCAAACGCGTGTATTCTCTCCATTTTTCATTCATAGCTTTAGCACGCCATTCCGCAATACTAATTTCTCCAGGTAGCGCTAATTCTTGTCTACAGCCTGGATTGCGCCAAACCTACGATTATTTATGACAATTATTTAAAATAATTCAATTATTTGTATACGAACATAAAAATAAACGATTGAGTTAATAAAATTTGAAACATTTTTACTAACCAGCAACATTTCAATTTCCACTGCTAACAATTCAAGAATTAAATTACGCTTTTTAATATAATCTTTTACAAAAACGTTAGTATTTACAACACGTTTGCTTCGATTACTGCGTTTGCTTAATGTGTTACTACTAGTTGACATTGGCATAGCACTAACCCATACACTGGTAGGTGTTTTTGAAAAATCATTAGTAGGTGGACTTAATGTTGCAGTTATTGAATTGATAGTTTCACTTGTTACAAGTACATTTGATGTGTATACTTGAGGTTGGATTATTAAATCAAATTCGTTTTCGTTTCCTGTCATCATCAAATATTTTTTATCGCTATGCATAACCTGTATAAATAATTAAAAAAATAAGATCGGAAGTGTTAACAATTTGTAATACATTTTAGAAAGCATATTTTCACATACCTGCCAAAAACGTATGAGAGTAACTATATCTTCACGGAGTTGTTCGAGTTCTTGAGTAGGTACTTGACGTTCTCGGCAAAAATAATCTAAACAGTTAGAATAAACACGTTCTCGCAGAACGTTTTTACTTAACGATCTGTAATAAAATGATTTCTCATTAAAATATATCGTACTCTTCTTCATTTAAAAGTAATAAATAATATATTTATACCTTGGTAAAATATCACCTTGGAGGAGAAGTAAACCACAGGATAATAATTTAAAACGCACTCCAACTGCAGCAACATGCCTATTTATAGTAGGTTCTTCGCCAGATGCACCAACAGACATAGGTAATGATCGATGAAGCAACATCACTATCATATCCACTGTCTCTTGACAACAGTATTTTGCAGTTTCAATTAATTCCATGATAAATGATATCCAAATATCATGAGGTTTTACATCAGGTGGATTAGGTTCTAACTTACAACCTTCATAAACTGCTAATGGGCTGACCTCTTCTTCTTGAGCAGAAAATAATCCCATTTTCTTATCAACAGTGTATTGCCATGCAACAAGCATCTCTTGTAAAAAACGCAATTTAAGATCAGGTCGTACAGTAAGAATCCATTGCCAACATTCAACAGCTGTATTCATTGCTGAACTTGTAAATAATTCAATCTGTGAACAGGCAACAGTTTGCAAAAGTCGCCTGTGTATTCCTGAAAATATAGATAATTAAATATAATAACTATTTATAATACAATGTATTATGTATATTAAACAATTACCTGGCATAGATATTAAAAGAGCAGTAGCACGCCAAAGAGCACCACGATGTTGTAGATCATTATTTTCGCGGCAAGCATGCCATACAGCGTCAATAAGTTGGTTCACAACTGTCACTCTAGATTTTTCAATTGACGTTTGATGTGTGGG